TTAACTTGAATCTTGAGCAACTCCCCCGGGTGGTAGTGCCTTTGACGCTACTCCTCCGGCTCCTCCTTTCGAGTAGTTTTAAAGATCTGTCCCTGTTCTTGAAATATCTGTAAACACTTCTATTGGTAATGGAATCTGCCACTTTCTCTCTCTCTTTTTTTTTTGTGTTTGACGTATTTACTGGTGTGATGTATTTGTTGGTTTTGGCGCTATGCTCCCTTGCCCCTTGCTCCAAGGAGGCCTTGTCTTGTTTGGAGTAATGTTATTTTCTGGGTTGGTTGTTCGTTTGGGTATGCGCACTTGCGTGATTTTCAGGAAATGGTGTTGGCGACTGTTCGTGTTCTTTTTCCTTCTGGCAACGTGCGAAGTGACTGTTCATTTAAGTTAGCTCTTAGAACCACCTCTTTGAATCCTGCACCCTTATTTATTGCTATTTTTGTTTGCAGAACTCTAACAGTCATTCTTCAGGCCTATATATTCCCAAGTACTCCAAGCTATAGCACTCCCACTGCCTCACAGAGATCTTCTTTCTTCGATTCTTTGACTTCCTTCGGCGCTTGTCCTCTCAAACCTTTGGATTAATGGCTCCCTCCCCGCTTTTCAAACATCGCACCCGAGAGTCTCTGAAGGGTGAGTGGTACTCTATTTTCCTTCTTCCGTCTATGCTTATTGTAGCGGATGTTGATGGCATAAAGAGTCGGTTAAATCTCCCTGCGGATCTAGAGGTTAGAGTTCTCACCCCTGATGAACCTTGTAGCATGCCATCCCCTGGTGAAGTTGCCTTCTTTGAGGGGGCATTTGAGAGTGGACTCCGGTTGCCCCTCCATCGAGATTTTGTTCGGGTTCTTTCGCATCACGACATGTGCCCCTCTAGGCTTTCTCCTGAGAGGTGGNCTTTCTTTGGTATTGGAATCTGCCACTTTCTCTCTTTTTTTTCTTCTTTTTTTTTGTTTGATGTAATTGCTGGTGCTGGCGCTATGCTTCCTTGCCCCTTTGCTCCAAGGAGGTCTTGGTTTATTTGGAGTAATGTTATTTTCTGGGTGGGTTGTTCGTTTGGCTACACGCATCCACGTGATTTTCGAAAAAGGGTGTTGGCTACTGTTCATGTTCTTTTTCCTTCTAGCAGCGTGCGAAGTGACTGTTCATTTAAGTTAGCTCTTAGGTGACTCAACTTCTTCTTCAAATCTTGCACCCTTATTTATTGCTATTTTGTTTGCGGTCTAGACTTATATCCATTATCATTACTATCAAACAAAAGTCTCAACAATTGTTTTGTTTTGGGTGTTAATAATGCAAATGAGAGAAAGCAACCAATCCCATATTTCTAAAAGTTCGTAACCATTGTTCCTCAGAGGATACTTCATTCGTTCCTAAATACCTGTCATTTAAAATTTTTGCACCGGGATTAAGGAAACTATTAAATAACTTTAATATGAGTAAAAAATAATTACACAAGACTAAAATACTCTTATTCAACACGTATTGGGAAGGAAAGGAATATGAAAGGCACTTAGCGTACACTTAGTCTATTATACACTTATTGGAAAATAGAGATAAGGGTAAATTTGGAAGAANAAAATATGAAAGACACTTAGCGTACACTTAGTCTATTATACACTTATTGGAAAATAGAGATAAGGGTAAANGGAATATGAAAGGCACTTAGCGTACACTTAGTCTATTATACACTTATTGGAAAATAGAGATAAGGGTAAATTTGGAAGAAAAAATATTTATTATGCTTTGGTTTCATAAAACGACAGATATTGTGGAACAAAAAAAATTGTGTAAAACGATAGATACTTAGGAACGGATGAAGTATATTCTAAACTTGTTTGGACTNGTGGAACAAAAAAAATTGTGTAAAACGATAGATACTTAGGAACGGATGAAGTATATTCTAAACTTGTTTGGACTACGGTGGTTAGTATTCGAATTCCAGAGAATAGTTAGCACAAGCTTAAAATCCCTATAGTACAAAAAAAGAAAAGAAATAGCAACCTAAATTACTCGGAATGATCGGCTATTGAATGATATTTTTGAGATTTAGATCTTTCTCTATTATACATTTGCTCAATAGTAGATCATCAATTATGTATTGATAGCATCCCATAAAGAAATAGCGAGTCACACATTTATTTACGATAAGTAATATACATTCAAATGAAATTGTAATAAAAAAGATATGATATTTTGAACAGTATTATCCATAAGAAAAAAAAAAGAGTTGCTTCATCGAACAATGTGGCCGTTGTTGGCCACACATTAAGAGCAATTCCAACCAAGATCTCCAAAATAACTAGTAAAAATATATTTAAACTAGTTATAACTCATATTTGAAGATACGATGAAATATAAAATTCAAACGCCAAACAAAATTTATCCCACTATATTAAATAATAATTTTTTTCTTTCATTTCTTTAATTACATCATTTAAAATATATATTTATCCATTATTGTCTTAAAAATTGATGATGCACAAAACTGTCTCGTGCAAGATCAACAGTCGAGTGTGTGATAGAGGTGTAATTAATAGATAATAAATAAAGCAATCAATGACGGTAATGTAAATATTAAGTCAACACAAAGATATATAATAGTTCAGTCCGTGTGATCTACTCCATTTTGGAAAACGGCAATAGTGGCCAGGGGATTTTTGTTGATCAAGCAATGGAGCCAAAAGAGAGAACAATGGTTAGCTCAAAGAGAGATACAATAGTTAAGAGAGAAAATGTATATATAGGGGTGTAGAGAGTTGTGGTGAGATGCCAAGATGTGTCATCTCATGTGGAGACGACTCACAATTTATAGGTATAGTAAGACAGTGACGTGAGTGTGAGGGTATTACTTATTTAGGGAGGATAGTTACAAATGGTAAATACAATTAAGGTAGGAATGATACTTGTGACTGTGTATTCCGATAATCTTTCTCTCACGTGCTCTTTTCTTCTCGGACTTCTAGGATCTTGGACTGGGTCGAATTAATAAATCGAACTTGGGCCACCTTCCTAGTGGATCTGAGCTGCCTTCCTAGTTGATATGAGCTTACTTGATTTACTGGGTTTGGCCCAATTAGATTTGGGCTCGTTAAATATATTGATAATTTTTTTTAAAATACGTAATCCGAAATTTTTTTCTTAATATATGTATATTATCATGTATGAATAATGTTTAAAATAAAAAAAATATATTAAATTATAATTTAGTCAAATATTAAAATAATTAAGCATGTGATAGAAATGAGTGATGTGATATTTTTGAGAGAGAAAATGTATAAGGGATAAAATTCAACTTGTGAGTTATCTTATTATATAGATGTTGTATTTTTTACTTCAGTTAGTCACTTTTACAAGTTCAATACAACCACACTCTCTATTATAGGTAATTACTTCAACTAATTTTAACTAACTTTCAATAATATAATTAAAAAATATCACATGCCCGAGCACATCAGCGCTATAATGATGATGTTGCATGACAAATCATCAAAATTTTGAATTTTACAACAATCATATTTACGACGATTACATTTTTGAAAATATATAAAGAGGACCTTGTCCCCTCTTTGTCATATACATCAAATTTATCATCAACCTAACTAAAATCATATTATATAATCAAACTTCAAATAATACAACCAAATAACAATTTAACTCCCATTCATTTTAAATAACAAAAATCAATTGCACGATACATGCCTTATAAATATAAAATTTTCACAAATACTTATATTAATATTTTATAGAGTCTAATGTAAATATTTCATTATACATAAAATTAAAGGGTTTTCAGAATTGGGGGGGTTCCGATGCGAAATTGGTGGGGAGGGAGGGAGGGAGGTTGCAAAAGGGGGGGGGGGAATGAAGAAGATGTACCTGATAATAACACTAGGAGAAAACAAAAACAACAATTAGAGAAGATGAAAAAGAAAGCGGCCGCAAGAAGTTTGACGAGCTGCTTCTTCCTCTCCAAATTTGAAGAGCATGAGGGTCTCCTAGATTTAAGCGAGTAAGATGGCTAGCCGGTTAGAACAATTTTTTAGAGCTTGTCTTGCCAAAAATAGTAAAGAATAAGAATTTATCTAATTAATTGGGGTTGCTTTAAGCACTGAGGGAAGGAACTGGCCAAATAATTTAGCGTTCATTTGATAGCTTTTTATTTACCTATTTTTTAAGAAAAAAATAATTGTCAAAAAAGATTGAAAATATAAAAGTAAAATTTAAATATATGAATAATACACTTGTATATATGCATACACATGATATTATAAATACAATTAAACTTGGAACAAAATGATTAAATACAAATTAGAAAAAATAAAAATAAAAAATACAAAAACAAATGGCATTTGCAGAGAAGTTCTCTAGATGCTAAAAAGTAATAAAAACCTAAAAAAGCGTGAATAAACCATTTAAAGTAATAAATACTTGAAACTATTTGAAGAAATAAATACTTAAATCATTTTTTGTGTATTTTCTATTCAACAAATTATTTTAATTTTTCTGGGATATGTTGGATATCTCTCTTTCTCTCTCTCTCTCTCTTCTCTGCACATTCTCTTTCATCCAACTGGGTCCGACTCTGAAGCGCAAAATCGAAATGGCGGCTCAAGTTTCCCTCCATTTTCAAAACTCTTGAATCGTGTGAAAACGTTGTCTTTCCCTCTTCCGTCCTCGAACCAAAAATCAAAACCCCAACTCCCAAAATTCACCAAATCTGCACTCTTTTCCTCCGCCAACATTCTCAAAATTTTCTTTCACTCCCAATCTTACAAAGCCTTTCAGAGCCCTAATTCTTAAGAAGTACCTTTCAATTTGTCTCTCCCTAATCTCGCTGTCTTCAAAGCTCTCTCTTTGAAGGTTTCACATAAGAACCCTGTAAACTTTCTTAATTCACTGCTTCGAGGCTTCAAAGTTTGAATTTCAGCAACACCCATTTCCAATTTCTCGATCTAAACCCATATTTCTCTTCACAATTCTCTCTCTCTCTCAACGTTTCGATGGATACCCAGTTCACAAAAAGCCTAGAAACTCACTCTCCACATTTAGATTCAGTTGATTTACACCAAACCCTAGGAAGGTGTTCTTCACCCAACTCACCTAAACAAAAAGTCCTAGATGATCTGGATCACTTATCCTCAGTTCCTACACAATCAAACCTCGAAAAATCGTCTAATTGTGATAATTTGTTGGCTGATGGAAGCCCGGATGATAATAATTTTGATCCAGCTTTCTTGCTTGATGATGAGCCCGAAGAAGATGACCATTCGCTTTCGTCTCCGGTTGGTACATTTCTGGCCTCACATTGGGCTGAACCCCACGGTTCGGATGAAGACATTAAGCCTTCTTTGGTGGTACGCTTTTGTTCTAAATGGTTGTATGTACTTGTCAATTTTGGCTTTGTATGTGTCAATTACGTTTATATTTGAGATATTTGATGGTTTTAAATTTATGATGTTCTTTAATTTATAAAATTGCAGGGTGCGGGGCTTGCAAATCTTGGAAACACGTGCTTTCTTAATGCAGTGTTGCAATGCTTCACACATACTGTGCCGCTTGTGCAGGGTCTTAAGTCGTGCAATCATGCAATGCACTGTGATTGTAAGATTACTTCCTTTATAATGCTTAAAATTTTTCTTCTGGTTTTTTTGTTTAAATTCTTAAAATGCTAAGTTTTTACTGGGTAATTGATACTGAATGTTTGTAATTGAGAATATCCAAATTTGAAACTTTGGTTTTGCGATTTTGCAGATAGTAGTGAAGGGTTCTGTGTGTTTTGTGCTTTGCGTGACCACATTGAAGTTTCAGTAGCTTCTACGGGCCGGGTTGTCTCTCCTTGGAAACTTGTTGACAATTTGAGCTGTATCCTCTTCTGTGTGTCTCTTACTATTAACATGAAATCAATTACTCTTCCATAAGACCTTTATTTCTATAAGGTCTTGGATAGAATGGTTTTCAGTCTTTGGGTTTTCTTATTCCTGATACATAAGTACAGTGGGTCATGATTGGCATAACATGATCACCACCCCTATATATGGTTTTGATGACCCTTTGGGAATCAGATTACGATCACATCTTGCATTCTTGTGCTTTACCTATATCTATGTTTGTCTTGCCTTGCAAGTTGGTGTAGATGCTTCACTTCCTTTTTGGCTAGGAATTGTTTTTGTTGTTATTCTTGACCGAGGAATTACCAGATCTTTCATCTAGTTTCCGAAGATTTCAACAGGAAGATGCTCATGAATTCCTTCAGTGCTTTTTGGATAGACTTGACTGTTGTTGTAATTTATCTTTCACAAAGGATACAACACAGGGTCACAACATTGTGAAGCAGGTTTTTGGTGGTCGTCTCATTAGCAAAGTAAGAATTAAGATGGTGATTTTTCACTTCTCACCTCATAATATATTGATTTAAAGTATTATGAATTCCTCTGTGTGTGTGTGTGTGCGTGCTGAGAATTTAGGATAAGGAATTTGTTGAATTGTTAATTACTTGATATTCAAATTTCAGCTTCAATGTTGCAACTGTGGTCACTGTTCTGACACTTATGAGC